AAGGAAGAAATAATCGTTTTTAAAAGGATAACAAATGGATCAGCATGTCTTTGGCAAACTTCAGATTACAACCTATGGCCAACCAAACAAATGATGCCATATAAAGATTCTAATTCCCTTACCAGCTGTGCTACAGCCAGTCCATGGAAGGTTTTTGCTTTTGCAGCGATGGGATCATAACTAAAACCTTTGCAATGATTATTTGTACAGTTTATGTATACAATCTAATATTAATTTTGGGTCTTAGCATTCAAAGCAAGCTTGTGCCCTTTTTAATCTATGAAATTCTCATATCTTTTTTCTTGTTTATCAGATATTGGTGATATAGATAACAGTCTTAGGGTAGGCAGGGAGTAATCCTGCAGGGGGTTCATCGACCCTGTCCTGCCGAGATGGATTGATTGATGTGTGGGGCAATAAATATGGAACTATTTCTAATGGGCATGTAAACAGAAGTAAGTAACTCTTTAAAAGGAAGAAATGAAGATATAACAGTTTTTAATAGGATTACAAATGCATGAGCATGTCCTTGGCAAAACTTCAGTTTACAACATCTGCTTCATTAAACCAAACAAATGATGTCATATAAAGATTCTGATGCCCTTATCAGCTGTGCTACAGCCAGTCCTCGAACTTGGGGTCATAACTAAAACCTTTTCAATGATTACATACAGTTTATATTCAATATTGGACGTAAAACTCCATTGCATTTCATTTTTACAATTCAATATTACATTTGGCTCTTAACGCTCAAAGCAAGCTAGACAAGATTGTATCTTTTTTATTTTGGTTTCTCCCTGTCAGTGATACAGGGTGGATGGGCTAACATGGAAACATATTTTTTTTCCTTTGGATTGGGCAATAAACATAGGCCCTGTGTGCAACAGGTTGTACTCGTTAAGAGCTTGATTGGAAAGTAAGTAAGACGTTGAAATGCTGACAAAATTTCTCTCGTTTTACACCACATAACTGGGCAGTTATCAAGGCGAAAAAACAACATCTAGCAGTAAAGTTCTTTCGTGTTTTTCAGATATGGGTTATATAAATGAAATGGTGGTCAGGATAGCTGTCAGGTCAACTAGCTGTTGTTTGTATTCAGGTATTGTTTTAGTTATATACTCAGTTTTGGAAAAGGACTAATGATATCTTTTATCAAGACTATAACATCTGGTATTCTAGTCTTAAAGTCTGTTTAAAGGGGATGTATTAAGAATAAGAGCCTACAAAATGGTGAATTAATTTATCTCCCAGAGGACAATTGGAAATGAAATGAAAGGAGTTTTACGTCCTACTTTTCTGAAAAAAAAAACAATTATTGGAGAAACACATACTAATTTTGCTTCAAATTTAAGCAGTAATAATGATTCCATAAAGCTGTGTAAAGCTATAAGTAAAGATTTGTATTATTATTTTTCAGTCAATCTTTCACTGGGTGTTATGGCTAAAGTTGTAGAGATATTAGAATTTAAGATAGATGAAAGAATGAATGAATGAAGGAAAGAATGAATTAGAGAAAGGAAAAGATTGATCATTCATTGATGGCGTTGAATACGAATCGAGTAAAAAAATGCTGTAAATGTTTTCACGGTGACAACAGGAAGTATTTGTCCTGTCTTGAAGTACTTAGAAATCATAAAATAACGAGGATTAGTCTGCCGCACCGATTTTGTGGAATCATCATGCAACAATAATGTTAGATTAGGATTTGTCTGCCGCCCTGATTTTGTAGAATCATCATGCAGCAATAATGTTAGATTAGGATTTGTCTGTTGCCCTGATTTTGTGGAATCATCATGCAGCAATAATGTTACATTAGGATTTGTCTGCCGCCCTGATTTTGTAGAATCATCATGCAGCAATAATGTTAGATTAGGATTTGTCTGCCGCCCTGATTTTGTAGAATCATCATGCAGCAATAATGTTAGATTAGGATTTGTCTGCCGTCCTGATTTTGTGGAATCATCATGCAGCAATAATGTTACATTAGGATTTGTCTGCCGTCCTGATTTTGTGGAATCATCATGCAGCAATAATGTTAGATTAGGATTTGTCTGCCATCCTGATTTTGTGGAATCATAATGCAGCAATAATGTTACATTAGGATTTGTCTGCCATCCTGATTTTGTGGAATCATAATGCAGCAATAATGTTAGATTAAAATGTTCTGATGTAAAGTTACCTTTGCTAATGGCTTTGACTGTTTTAAATGTGAGAAATATACTTCTGAAATAAATTGTTTATCTCTATAAAAACTGATTCTTTTTTTTCCAGTTGAACCACTGCAGATTGAACTTGAGGCTACAAAACCGGGATTTTATTTCATTTGATTTGATCATGCTTGTTTTCTTGGCTTTGCTGACAGTGCAGTCTGGAAAATTGACCCCCCTTTTGTAAGAAGAGGTTTTGTAAATTTTGTATATGTATGGGAGACACAGATAACATCAATTTGCATCATTTGATTGCAAGAACCAGAGACGTCTGACTGAAAATTTTAGTAGAACAAATCGATGCTATCAGTGTAATACAAAAAGTTTGCAAAACCAGAATACTATTCCTTTTTTGAACAATTTTGTCGTTTATATCAGATCTGAACGAAGGGTTGCCAGATCTTAGTCATCCGTTTTAAATTGAGTGCTCAAATTACCAATAGTTGCCAGATCTTGCTAATGCCAGATTTGTGGCAGACCTGGGCAACTTGAGTATTGCATCCCAAGGAATTAAAATACGATTTGAAAGCAAACATACACCCACACAGTAGAATGATTGATGGAAGCTTTCGGAAAGAAATGAAATATAATGAATGGAGTTTTACGTCCTACATTTCTGCACCAAGTGGGCTAATGAAAACGGACAACGCCATGCAAATAAAACATGCTGACACACAATTAAAACAGGGTTTGGCCCAGACCTTTAAAACACTTGAATTGACATAATGATAAAAAGGTCTCGTCAATATACAATATAGGAACATATTTGTAAGCAAAGATATTTATCAATGAAAAATATATTCTTCATTCACTTCCAAAATCGTATTAGATGTATTCTCCGGCTTCCAACATTGGAAAAGTGTTTCTAGGTGGGGTGGGGGCGTTTGAACAGAACTACTGTCTTGTAGTGTGCAATGAAGGAAATTTTGACAGGAAATTCAAAATTTCACTGCATTTTGTCAACAACGGATTTTCTAGGTTGAATTAGAATGTCGTGCCTCGCAGTATGACAGACTCTACATCCTTCAGATCGGTGCTATGGAAAGAGAATTGACTGATGCCATGCCTTGTGCCTTCTAAAGCTATGCCATCAGTTTCATACTCTGACAGAACGCTTTATGGTCTAAGGGAGGAAACTCAATTTACTATGATTACAGGAATTGTAAAGAGGTTTTTAAAAAAATTATTTGCGTAGGAGACACTGATAGTATCAATTTTCACCATTCCAATTTCCAATAAAACGTTTGCGGTTCCTGTAATTCCACTAGATATAAGTGGTTTATGACGTTATCACACAAGGCTCTTCGCGATTAGTGGCATCATCAGATACTCATTTTTTGTGGAATTGCAGGAACCACAGATGTCTGACTTTAAAGACTTTTAAGTAAATCTGTCAAAAATGCTATGCGTTTGTTAACTGTTACAGTGTGTTTAGTTACAAGGATTCAGATTTTACTTAAGGCATGGGCCATGGAATCATATTCAATTTGGTGGGGAATTTGAAAGGAGCCTCTGAGAGTTTTTATGAAATGAAATAAATGGAGTTTTACGTTCTACTTTTCTACACCATGTGGGCTATTGAAGACCGGCCACGCCATGCAGGGTGCAATGAGGGAAATTTTGCCATGTATTGACCTACTCTTTTTAGATTTCCAACTGTCGAGGGATCTCTAACGTACACAGCCTGTAGCTCACGGGAACTAACCTCAGAATAGAGGTTTTGCCCCCTCCCCCCACTCTCAAATTTTTATCATAAGGCATTGTGAAATCATTATCTGTGTTCCTCTTGGAAATTCCTAGACCAATACCCCCTCCCCCTCGCCTAATTACATCATAGAAAAGCCACTTAACACAAGTTTATGCATTTCTATTGAACGCATTTGACTGCTGAGAACATTAACCCACTTACAAAATAAACAGACAATAACAAATACGTGGAATATTCAAGGTCACATGAGATCAAATCAAGTGAATACACAAACACAAAAAAAATCCTCAAGATGTTCGAACAATGAATAAGGAAAATATATACCTGTTCAAGGTATACACTATGTTATGTTATTCTTTTATTGTTTAGTCATACAGTGACACCTTTACTGTTTAGGGGTCGACATTGTAC